CAGTATCAAATACATAATTAAAAACAGATTAAGATAAAATAGTTCAAAATGAAACACTAATGCTAAGAATGTTAGTAAAATTCTTCTGTTAATCAGTTTACTGTTTAAATTAATAGCAATAAAATATATAAAAATATAATGAATTAAAATAAGAAAGTATATATTTCCTCTGCTAATTCTTTGCTTTGTTAGTAAAAGTGAGTAACCATGAGACTTACTTGCTGAATCTGTCTTAAACTCCTTTTTTGCATGATCTCCTGGAAGTTCTTTGTAAGCGTATTTGCTCATTGTAAAGGCAGTGACCAATACAAAACCATCGGCATAAGGATGTAATCCATCACAGACAAAGCTAGTCATGCTAGTACGTGCTGTTTTGAGACCAAAAATAAAAATATAAAATAGGATTTATGTTAGGAGTACAGGAACTTTTACATTTCATGAGAGCTATCTGAACCAATGTCATGGGTATTTGTATTTTAATTACTCTGTATTGAGGATGCTTGGCTGGTTTGTTTCACTCATGAATGTCAAGTGAACGCTTAGGAAGAGGAAGGAATATACTTCCCACTCAAACAGGCAGAGAGTTGGGTTTTGTTTTGTTTAGTCTTTATTTTCTCAGTACTATGTCATTAAAAAAGGGTGTAATTAGAACCTAACATAAGGTACCTGTGTGAAGAGAGGCTACTGTTTTCTTCGGTGTTCAGTTTGGGAAGAGGTTAATAGTTGAATGCCTGAGGTCACCCTGCGTGCTGTTAGCTACAGAAAGGTAAGTCTGTCCTGGTATGGTGGGAGAGACTCAGCCTGCTTTCGATGACTGAAAGCAGGACAGAAAGGAATTGCATAAGGAACAAATGAGTGAAGCTATTACCCTTGCAGCCCTTTTTAGGGTGGCAGCTGGGGTTTTGGAGACCCAGGGAACTGGGGAGCAATGGCCCTTTCCACTTTCCCTCCAGCTGTGACCTCCCCACAGCTGGGTGCACTGCCCAGGTCTCTGGGCAAACCACCCCTATCCACTCACAGGAACTGGCCAGTGGGCTGCAGCCCATCTGCGCAATGGTCAGCGCCAGGGTGCAGAGAACCAGAGAGATTACCTGGATGTGAGGAGTACAGGAGCATGACTGCCCGGGGCAGTCCAGATTTGCAAAACATGGGAAAGGAGGAATGATTTAACTGGCTGCAGTAAGGACTAGCCTAAACCTGACGTATTTGCTGGTATCATTTATCAGGCTGTTAGCTTTCAACGCATAATTTTCCAGTCCTTCTTTTAAACAAAAGCTCACAACTGTGAAAATCCAGTATAACAGATACAGACATACTCATCTAAAAGTAAGGTAGCTTAAAACAACTTTTCTGAAAGAAGAGAGCTTGTTTTGTAGAAGACAGCCTCCTGGTCTACTTATCTAAACATGTATAATGCTGCCCTCAGCGCTTGGCCTTTCAGGAACCGTAGCATTACTCAGAAGGCAGCTCCCTATTTGCAGTTTGCTTTTTCAAGAAGCGTAGAAAGATCTGGTACTTGTACCGAGAGGAGGCAATCCCTCTTGTCACTCGGGGAGCAATAAGCAGATTCAGTGAACCAACTAAGCCTAATTATGTTAAGCTGGGACAGTTAAAAAAAAAATAGTTAAGGGAAGATACTGTTAAAAGTATCTTTATTAATTGTCTTTAAACCTTCCAGTAAATATTTTTTTCTCTAAAGAAATGATTCCACTTCCTCACAAACTTCTGATTTGTTAAAAATTAAAACATGCTTAAACATGAATTAAACATCTCAGAGAATATATTAACTGGCTGTAGCAACATTTTCCGAGGCAGAATGCACCATACGCAGCACTGATCAAGCAACTGATAATCCCGTCATGACTTATTCTTCATACAAGATACATAACACTGCAGGGTGGTGGAGCAATGTCCTGAAATGGTAAACTAAATGAGCCACATGGCTGAACCTCATGAGCAACCTCAAAGGAAAGAAACTTAACAAAAGTTTTCTACAAATAAAACACTTCAGTGTTTTTACTGCATAGTTTTAAGAGACTCCAATATGATTTGTCATTACATCATGCTTGGTGCTCTGTAAATATTAAAATGCGATGAATTATTCTTTACCAAAGGGGCATATACTTACCACAGTTGTCAGTGGTATTGCAGCACACAGTATAGCCAGCTATACTACCATTTGATTTGCTGACAGATTCCTCCCATGTAAGTGATACGTTTCTGGCATAACTCTGGATTTGAAGATTTCCTGGTTTGTCTGGAGCTGTTGTAGAAAAAAATGGGTGAATGAAAATGAAAAATACTCCTATTTTTGATCACCTTTGATTAAATTAAAATTTCAGCATACGAGATAATATCCAAGATACCAACAAGATAAAATATTTTGCATACAGGCTACATTCAAAGACATTATATATAAATATAAAACAAGTACATATAAAACTATCAAAGTGCAATAATTTCATAAATTTAATCCATGTAGAATATAAGTGAACACAGCAATATCATATATTACTGAAATAGTCCAGCATTTCCAGTTATAATACATTGCTTTGATTTCCTTGTAATTTTAACAAACTTTAAATGTCTGGCCTACATTTTCTTTGCAGGCCACATGATATAGGCTGATTTTCTTTCTTTTTAAATTCAGCAGAAATACCTAAGCCATGTCCAAGGACAAGACTAAGTAAACCACATCATTTTATCTTGAACCATTCTTTGCAACTATTCTGTCACATCTTCCTTCAAAAGCAAGAATTTAACACTTGTTTGACCAGGCCTGCATACTTTTTTGTTGTTATTGAAACCTGCTTAAATTTGGTCACATTCTCACCCTTAAAAAAAAAAAACAAAAACAAAAAACAAAAAAACCACTCTCATAGATTCAACATGCTTCTGCAGCTAACATCCTAAAATTGTCCATCACTCAGCAAAACTATCTCAGCTCCTACTGTGGACCAGCCTGTATGTGTACCATTTCCCCAGAAGGACAGACTGATACCCGCGCAGTTCCTGGGCACCTCCATGCCTGCAGAATAATTCAGCCTGCTCTGGGCCCAGACTTGGGCTCTGGACGCAGGAGCGGGAACACAACCCTGCTGCGTTCCCACTGACCCTTGGTCTGAGCACAGAGGTAAGAGAGGCAGGTGGCAGACGTGGAGCCTGAGACTGGGACTGGAAACCTGCGACCGTGGTCAAGGAAGAGCCATGAGGAAAGGAGAATGGGCAGCAGGAGCTGGAGGACAACCCAAGGCTAAATGAGCAAAGGCCCTCCAAACGTACTGTCACTCCCCAGGAAACATAGGCAGAGGAATTCACAGTAGGTCTTTGCAGAAACATGTGGAATATAAAACAAAAGTACATGTTATACTTACGACTAAAATCTGTTTCTATGCTAGTATTTGCATGCAGCCAGTCCTTATCATTAAATCTTACTGTACTGTTGCACATGTAGCGATGGTTGGGCAACAAATTTTCCAGATTTGCACAAGCATCACCTGAGTCCTTAGGAGACTCTGTTAAAGGACCTGTACACACACAAAAAAAGGAAAGGTTTTTAATCAATATTTTTCTCAACTCCAAAAGTACGTGGTACCATTTTAACTGGGATTTTCAAAAACACTCAGCATTAGTCTAATGCAATACTGCCCACTCAGCAGACAAGCTGGACCATCACTGTATAACCAGAAAACATTTTAATAGTTGGCATTCAGAATCTATTCCTTTCATCTTGCTAGATATTAGAAGTAAAATTTGAGATTTGCATCTAAAATAAGCAGGAAGAGAAGATCAGATTAAATCTACTCTTAGAAACTGCTACAACTTAAATACAAATATCTTTTCTTCCTACAGAGGTCTCCTGAGAGTGAAAATAAATGTCTGCATGAAATGATATAAATGTCTGTGATTCGTAACAAATCTCATTCCAAGATAATCAAGATACACACATACAGTCATACTTGCTTTTCTTGAAAAGTCAGCCTAGATGCCATGAATAAGAATTTGAATTTCAAAGGCCGCACAGGCTTTTAGCATTTATTTGATTAACTCAACTGAGAATGATTAAATGTGAGGTTATTAAATCACTCCCTGTTGATGATTAGGTTCTAGGTTCTTGCATTTTAATTTAATCTGCATAGATCTTTACTTTTCATCAGTAACACTTATATGTTCTCAGGAATTACCTATTTCACATGTATCATGGAAATTATGAATAGTGCTGATTTGAATTTCCAAAAAACCAGTATTTTCCCACAGAAATCAAAACATTTCATAGGAGTGTGAAAGAACTCTGCATGTGACCCAGATATCAATCTTCAGCTCCCTGAAATATGAAATCTCCAGCCCAGGGCATTTATCATGCAGTTCTCCAGGACACACGAGGACCTCCAAACTCCATGTCTTCCCTACCACCTCAAAAATCTCCTAAGGCCTAAAATATGTGAAGCTGGTGAACTCAGGGAATGCGTGCTCTGGGTATGAACTTTACCTAGATCTTTAGTAGCACGTAAGAACGTCTGTCCTGAATCTACGGACCCTGGCAATGTTGAACAGTTCTTGTCTCAGATTGGCGTTATCATTTAAATCTGACAGTCCCTCATCAAAAAAAAAAGAAAACTGCTAAAAAAACCAAACAAACAAATCAACCAACCAACCTTCAACTGTCCAAATATCTTAGAAGCATCTTACCGGATTCGCAGTTATAACGGTATTGCACAGCACAGTCAGATGAGCTGTTCCAGCATAACTTTGCAGATGTATTTGTTATATCCGAAGCACTGAAAGAATACTTGCTTTCGTCTAAAAAGGATTAATATTATATGTCACTATAACATTAGCTATATTGATTCTTTAAGTGCCAGTTTTATCTTTTATAAATGTTCATTTGTTTCATATCAGTACGCAATTAGCACAGAGCAATACACAAAGAATTTAACAAGAAACTGAAAGTAAAAATTACACACATGAGATAAAGACAATGGTGCTATTCAAATCACAAAGGAAACTTTTAACCCAACTAAGACAATCTCTTTAGTGTGAATCTCTGTTCAAAGGCTGGCTGGTCTTGCTGCTGCTAACCATGCTGCCTAAGGCTGATTTAGTTCAAGTTCTCTTTTTTTCCTTTACAATGAGAAAATTACAATTTTTTTTTTAAGACCCTCCAATATTTCAAAAATCACTGACAGGCTTTAGGTGCAACTTCAAAATGCAAAATGTCTTGCAAATCAAGCACAAAATATAAAAACCTTCCGTATGACTCTAAAAAAAAAAAAAACTAGACTAAGAAATGCAGGAAAGTAGGTCAGAAACTGCCGAGTTTTAGTGTCTGGACATGAAGACAGAAGAGTAAGTTAGAAGAACCGTCTCCTTTCCTCTGTCTTCATCCCAACTAACTTTGGACTTCTAAATTAATTGCCTAATAGCCATAATCCATTGTAACTAACAGATAACATTAAGTATTTCCAAACACAATTTGGATCTTAGCAGAACTGAAGTTTTACTGCAGGTACTTATGGGAGAAACTTCAAGTGACTCCCATAATACTGCTAAGATAGCCCCCTCAAAGGGACTTCCAACATCAAATAATATCTGTAATCTGTCAAATTACAGCAAGATTGGAATCACAACAGATTACTGACAAGGTACAACAAAATATAACATAATAATATCTGCGTAACAAAACAAAATCCTTCTATACCTACCAGGTGAGAGAAGAAGCTTTAGTAGCGTACAATTTCCCTGTTGAACTTCGTATTTCTTACATCTCTGAAGCCTTACTTTGTAGGTGCTATGATTCATGAATGTACCATTTTCAAGGGGAAAAATATTATATTGTTTGTTTTTTTCGAGCTTGTTCAATGTAACTTCAACAGAGTTATTCTCGTCTGGCTCATTACTCATCGAGTAATGAATATTATGATCTAAAAAAAAAAAGGAGAAAATAGCAAACAATGATTTTATGATAATTTTTAAGAACTGCGTTTTATAGCACTTCCAACATCATTTGTGTTTTAAGAATCAGAAAATACAGCAGATTTGGCTGTTGGATTTTTTCGGGCTACAATCATCATGTATTTGAAAAAATAATTTAGTCAAAACTGAACATTTCCTTTGGAAAATATTCTTTTAAATAATTCTCTAGTTAGGAGAATCAGAGAAGTAAGAAATTAGCATTCCAGTACTAAATTTGTTTTAATTTATAACATCAATTTAAAATTAAATATTTCATTTTTCCACATTGAATCAGTCATTTGAACAAAAATGTAAAATTTCCTCAATCAAACCATTCCAGAGCTTTTCAAATCATCTAGTAAATAATGGCTGTAGTCTCTTCCTGCAAATTAGAAGACACAGAGCGCTCTGATTTTGAAGAGAGGTAAACCAATGTCTAAACTTTACTTATGAATTACAGTTTTTAGCACCAGGGAAAAATTAGAGAGGGCCTAGTTGAATAAAAGCAGATCTCATCTGCAGCCCTGAAGCGTTACTGAGAGCAAGAGCCTAGTACAGGGCAATTTAGCAGAGCTGAAATGGAGAGGAGAAGATCAGAAATGTTAATGACTTTAGTAACTCCTCCTGAACTGGAAGACAGTTCATAAAATAATCTGAGATAATCTGAGATGCTAACTAATTTGGTTTACTGATCAGTTTTCTCTAATTCAGTTTACTGATCTGGTCAACTAGCAGGACTGAGAAAAATAGGGCGTTCGGTTCATACCACAGCGTCCTTCAGTTGTCACTGTGGTAGTTTCTGTAAGAAAAGAAAACAAAATTAATACCACAGGTATTTTCCTCACACAGCATGAGAGGAGGATGACTGATACTGTCCAAAACGCTTTCAGTCATTCGATACAAGTAATTGTATTTAGCAGCCCATTCATATTTGAAAACATGAAAGAAAATAAATACCACCTAACTATAACCCTGACTTTTAACCAGATATTCTCGAGATTGTGTGCATTGTATTTCTTCATTTTACAATGACATTACTGACTGCAAATCCTATTGGTTATTTATAACATTTCTCGGATGCTTCTGCCTACAGAAGTACACAAGAACATTCCAAAACCGCACATTTCGCACAGGTATGGTCTATGGCTATCCGGTTTCCCACGATACTTACGCTGTGGAGTAGCTAACTGAATAGTTTCCCTTGTCACTAAAGAAACAAAATTAACCTACTTCTTGCACTGCTGCTCTTTCTTACCTCCGGAATCAGAGTTATGCAACATTATGCAGATCATTTTACCATAATTTTTTACACTGAAATATCTGACAAGAAATTAAGAACTGGTATTCAGGAAACCTGTACTGCAGCTTGAGCAAAGAACTTCATCCTGCAAACAACTACTGAAGATATACTTTAGAGCCAAGCGTACCAAGAGAGACTGAAATCTGCTTTCCTTCCCGCAAGAAAGGCCCCGGGTGCGCATCGCCGCCCGGCTGGCGAGGCCGGGCCGATGAAGGGGAGTTACAAAGACGACAGAGTCAAACTCCTGGCTGTGCTTTGTCCCAACCCGCCGACCTGCGTCATTCTTTGTAGCACAAGTGGGTAATAACATGCACAAGTGCTTGCAGGATTAGATACCAAGAAACAGTTAATGCTGAGCAAAACAACATGCAAGCAATCTGAAAACCGGGACAAGCGCGCAGAGCTGTGGATCTCATCATCATTTTTTGCTGCTGCTTGGGCAAACTTCTGTGAATATCCAGGAGTCTTGGCAGAGTTATTTGACAGATCTACTCTCCTGCTGTGCCACTGCTTAGCAAATAACTTCTGTTTTTCACTTGCTTGACAAGTAGTGAATCCGGTGTCTTTTATACTACTCATACACTATTAATAAGATTCCCAAAAACCCTTCCATTCAATGCAGTTGCATGCCTAATTTGTATTCCTTAAGTTCGCAAAGAAAAAAAAATCCAAACAACTTTAGTTCCCTCATTCTAAAATATTTTCTGTGCTTGCTATAGTATCATAATTGCTATAACTGTGTGCAAGTCTGTCACCTATGGTGTGATTGGGGATGATCCCAGTGTTTGCTGGCATGCTGCCTGGTGAGGTGGTGCTGTGCAAGGATGTTGGAGTGTAATCATCTGTAAGGAAATAAACAACACATCAGCAGTGAAAAGTAAAATTCATGATTTCAGACGGTCGTGTCATCAGAAACGTCTTACACCACCATCCCTCCTCCCCCTTTTTTCCTTCCAGGATTTTTGTAAGTTAGAGAAGAGTGCTGAAAGCAAGATTATGCTAATGTATCCAATAAAAGAGAAAACAAGTATTTAAATAGAAAGCAAACTTTTAGGAATGCAACACCTACTACTGAATTTTGCAATATGCTAGGACAATTTTTTTCTGGCATTGTTTAGGCATAATCCATGAGGGAGTCGGCTTAAATGTTTCCTTAATAAGCGTGAGCTAGGAGAAACTAAAACGATTCGCAACGTTCTCGCGGGAGGACGCAATTCTGAAGGGTGAAATAAGCGCTCCGCTCAGACATAAGCACTCGGCTAGTGTGTGTTTGACCGATCAGATACATTGCTCACTGTGTTCCTTATCATACCTTACCACCTATCTCATTGCTTGGAAGCCACCGCCTGTTTTCTCAGCTCTGTTTTAGGCCCATTCCTACGGTTCTTGTTTTGGCAACAGCCTCAGTGGCAGTAGTGTGAGTTTTAATACTGCTGTAATGACTACGAGACTTGGCCGTCAGACACCAGATCCCAGAAACAATTCTGGTCCTGCTGTTATGCTGAACGGCAGGTCCGTTTTCTAGTTGCTGAACCATAAGCTAGGAGGAGCTACCCTGACGCTGAGTTACTCGGCTTTCCTCGACGGCTCAGATGACAGCAGGTGAAGGAAGGCAGCGAACCTGGTGCCGTGGGCAGGCCGGCAGCGGCCGTGCGTGCGGAAAGGGCAGCGGTGCTGCTGGGGGGCTGAGAGCTGAGCCCGGCGGCGGTGGGGCCCGAGCCCGCCTGAGTGGTGAGGTGCATGCTGCCTGGAGGAGAGGCACCTGCGGCAAGGAAGGACAGCAGTCTCGTTAACGCTTCTGAACAACGCTGGGCAGAAGGAGAAATTTTAATAGCTGATATTTTAATAACCGTTCCTGAACAGTTAAATAAGCATAGCCTGCAACGCCCCTTCATCTAACAGAGCATAAAAAGCTGCAGGTATAATTAGTGAAGAAGCTTCCTCAAGGTCACATATTCTCAGTAAGTAGGAAAGCGAAAGGAAAGAATTTGAAACCTGTTATTTCCTGCTCTCTGCCTAACCATCTCACACCGCTCTCCAAAGGAACACAAGATATGGACCAAACTTGAACAAAACTCTCCATTTGGTTACTGTTCTTTAAAATTTATTAGGAGGTCCAACCAGTGCCAGCTAAACATCTAGTAAGGATAATCCTTTACCACACTGACTGCATATCTTTCATTGATCTTTTCATTGATTTCATTGATTTTTTAAGATGTACCCGAATTCGTGCTCCAAAAAGAGACTCATTTTTTGATCACAGTCTTCCTTCTTAAGACAATGTATTCCATTTCACCAGGCAAATGAAAACACACTGCACACTCTGCATGGTAATTGTGCACACAATCTCTATCCTTGATCATAAAACACAAAACAGGGAGAAACCATCAGAAAAACCATCAATGCAGTTCTGTAATGCAAATCAGAAGTTTCTTACCATTAGTAGATGATGCTGGCTGATCCCCTTAAAAAGAGAGAGAGAAAAAGTGTAAATAAAACCGTAAAGGAATTATAAGCAATCATACTCCAACTATGTAAAAAAGAAACCTTTTTTCCTCTCCCAACTATCAGATCATTGCTCTATGCGGAATTACACGTCCTAAAGTGATATTTAATAACATGTAGTGACAACAGACCCCCAAAATATCACGCAAATGATATGTGGACTGATGTTGTTCACATTGAGATCACTTTTCCTTGAGCAGGGGGTCTGCGATGTGGAGAAGGCTTCCCGATGGCTGCAGTAGACACCCACTCAGCTGACATGAGAGGAGAGCAGCCGTGCCGCAACCCGGGTTTCACCATTACCTTTGGTGGTGCCTGCAGGTGAGAGTGAAGTGGAGCGTGCAGGTAGAGGTGACACAGGGGGAGGAGAGGTGGAAGTTGGCATATTTTCGTCTCCAGCTGCATGGTGGGGAAGAGAGACCATCAGGTGAAAAGCACATGTCATTGAGAAGTCAATGGAAGCAGAAAGCACCGCAGGCGCCCACTGGCCAGGAGAGTGAGTTTACATTGCTCTCCATGACCTGCACAGACTGTGCCATGTGTGTGCTTGGATTCATCACAAGAGCATGGCTTGGGACCACTTCTGCAAAGCCACTGGGCACCAAATCCCCACCAATTTGTCTGTGATGCCTTTGTGGCTGAGATGTTTGATCATCCTTGAGCAAGACACACTTGCCCTCAGCTGTCTGAAAACATCAGCTGAAGGGGAAGAATTAGCATGCGGCTTGCAAATAGCACAGCCCGATGGGGGTGTTTGCTTCATGTTGTAGATCCAGGAAGGATCCGCTTCCCACAGACCACGTGGCGTTGCCGTGGTGCTTGAGGAGCACTGCATGGGCTACAGCAGAGTGCCACTGGGGCAGCTCCACGTTAATGCTGAGCTGGGAGCTCAGGGAGGAGGGGTGTTCATGAGGAAAACACGAACTTATAACACCATCCACAGCTTGATTCTGATTGTTTTCCTTTCAAACGGGGCTTCAAATTCCCACCTTTGATTTAACTAAAATAAAAAAAACAATGTATGTCTTCATCACATTCACAAATTTTACTGCAATAAGATTGGCCTCAGACAAGATATATCACTGAAGCAGTAAATATATAACTATTAAAGTAATAGCTTTAGCAGCGATGGAGTTAATCAACGTATGACAGCAACGGATGCCAGCTCAGCTGACACAGGAGGAGAACAGCGGTGCCGCAACCCGGGTTTCACCATTACCTTTGGTGGTGCCTGCAGGTGAGAGTGAAGTGGAGTGTGCAGGTAGAGGTGACACAGGGGGAGGAGAGGTGGAAGTTGGCATATTTTCGTCTCCAGCTGCATGGTGGGGAAGAGAGACCACCAGGTGAACAACACATCAAGGTGAGAAGCTTGTTTCCAGTCAAAAAAGGTCAGTTGTTTGCATGGCTTTTTCTGAACCATGTTTCTCAGGCCAGATTTGATGGGAGGTATGTAACTGCTGCTTTCATACTTATCAATATATTTTACAACAGCATCAACAAATGACTTCAAAATCTTTCATATTAACACACAGCAATGCACACAAGTACAAGCAATATAAACTAATATAGACTGACTTTTTGCTGAATGAAGAATGAATTTATTGTTAAGAAGAGAAACCAACACTAATTCCATTGGCAAGAAAAATGCTACCTCGCTATAATCCTCACGATACAAGAGGAAGGGATCCAAAAGTCAAGTGTTCCTGAAAGCCCTTTACTTTCCCCTAATACTCATTTCTAAATCCCAGGGACATCCGAGATTTTCTAGACCATCCTGATGATATTTAAGCATCCCTCCAAGTATTTCTAACTCCAGGTTAAGCGCTCATAAATTACTTCCTGATTTCAGCTGGGAGCGATGGTCTTTTTGTGCCTATAAAAATAAACCTCACTTTTAGCACTCTACTTTGAAACCTAGAGCAAATACATTTTGTGTTTTTGTAATGTAAAATTTCTGTTGTGAGAAAGGAAGACAAAAATAAATGGCAGTGTCTGGGACCAGGCCAATAAGGGCACTTCGAGTAGAGCTGAGAAAATGCCAGCAGTGGTATAACAATGTGCACATTCTGCAGGTATTGTTGTCTCATCATAAAAACTGAAGATTGTTCTTGTCACTACACGTTACTTATTTAGGGGACTAGAAGCTTCCACTTCGAAATAATCCTGAAAGCCATCGTGAAAGCATGCTCGGTTCCCTGAGACCCCTCTCCCCGACACAGCATGCAATACTTGTGATCAAGAGCCAACGCCCACTTGTTCACATGTTTCTTGCTGTAACTGTCCACGAACTTTCATCCACCCACCTGGCTCTTCCTTTCTTCCCCTCTTTCTACTAGTTCTTCTCCATTTTTCCACTCTCTTTCCTGGGTTTTGTGTGTGTGTGTGTGTGTGTGTCTGGGTCCGTGTGCTTGTTTTTTTCAGCTAGTACTTCACTGTTGATTATTTCTCCTTTACTTCAGCTTCCCTACATGGTACTTCATAAATGTTGTAACTCTACTGTTTTGAAAAGAGGCTCCTGCAACCTTTAAAACAAAGCTCCAGACTTAATTGAAGAGCTACAGCACTTATAAGGGATACGCATTCGGTTGTCCTGTTGACAAGCCAGGGTCAAAACCTTGTCTCTCATCTCTGACACACAAGTTCAACATCGGCAGATCTCCCAAGGCTCCAGAGTTTTTCCCCTTATCGAACTGACAAGCAGCAACACAAGCACTGACTGCTCAGTAGCTACTATAGATTCTGCACTCCATATGGACAGTCAAAAAAAACCCCACAACAGCCATAAAAAAACCCACAACTCATGGCCACAAAGTTTAAATGACTTACCCTCTGGACACTAAGCAGCTCCTCTGCGCTCAGAACCATCATGAAATGTCTATACTCCATGATGTAAAAATTGCCGTAAAGAAAAAGTGAAACGTTGATTCCAGCAAACAGTAACATTCTTTGCGGCCATTATATTATTCATGATCTCTTTCTACTAATTCCAATTTGAAGAAAGCCAGTAGTCTGATATCTTAACGAAAAAGTATCAATCACAGCAAAATGAAGCTCAGCTAAAAATACCAATGCAGAGCTAGCTACTTCATTTTTCTGGTCCAGACAGCCATGATATGGGCTGGCCTATAATTTTTCTGAAACCTTATGAAACAGTCAAAATGAAATTACTATTAATTGTAAGACTATGATCTGCAAGAAATATAGCAGACTGACAACAGACTGTGAACAGTAAAGGCGTATAAGCCACTGTATTAGCAGTTCTCTAGTGTCTTCATTCATTCATCTGCATATATCCTCACTGAAACATAGGACCAGGTACACTTTTCAGGGCTACAAGTCAGCAGATGAAACTTGCTAGCCTGAAAGATAAATTATAGGTAATAATCAAAAATATAGGTGATCTTTTGAACTATCCGTGTATCTTCAGCATCTGAAATCTCAGGTAAGGACTGCAGCCTTTGTTAATAGCAATTGTATAATCTAATTAAAACATTAAATGAAGCCTGAGAACCTCGTAAGAGCTAACATGAATTTTCATATTTGTCATGAACAATTCACCATCAATGTATCTTCATACTTTTTAAATTCAGTATTTGAAAGATGACTGTTGGTCACTCTAAATTCCATTTATTATTTCTCTTTCTTCAACTGGCTTACCTAAACTTCATCAATTATTCTCTCTTCTTCCCAAATCTTATTTTGGTTCTGCACATTAAGCATACCTCGGCCTCAAGCCCAAGTTAACTTTATATGAGCATCTATACAGATTAACTTTCACTTAAATGACTGCTTCCAAGAACAGAATAAAAGATGTTGCAGAAAAAGCCTTAAGTAAATCTCTGTTCAGAGGTTAGTGAAACATTTAGAAATCATTTTCTAGCTGTTTCCTCATCTAATGCAAACATGACGGAGACAAAAATATATACTTCAAGATTGCCTCCTTCAAGAGAAGTGTGGTAATACAAGCAAAAGAAGGGAGAAATCACAGTGTTGTAGTTCTGGCTGTCCCACTGATTTCCTTAAGATCCCCGAGAAAGTCATATTCCCGTCCTCTCCATTGTAATGTTAGAAATAACAATACTAGTTTAAATATAGTGTGAAATTTATTGTTTGCTTATGATGACAGATGATAAATATTACACACAATCACAGAATCACTGAGGTTGGGAGGGACCGCTGGAGATCAGCTAGTCCAACCCTTCTGCTCAGAGCAGATTACTCTTTAAAACAGTTTGGAGGGGGGAAAAAAAGTACAGTCCTAGTTCTCCCTTATTTCCTCCAAAGAAGCCCTGGCGTTTTAACGGACTTTCATGGCAGTTTTGTATCATTCTGAGCATTTTGGGTGTCTCCTGTTCTTACAGGATTTGATTTTATTATAGAATTTATTATAGCAATAGAATAAGATGCAGTTAATAAGACTTCAGTAGGTGGCACCAGAACACTAAAAAAGAAATCCTCTCAGACAGTGAGGCAGATATATTTCCCCCTATTATCTTATTGAGAAATATTAGATAAACTGAAGAAAGAAAAAAGGGGGATACCACCTCCACTAGACTGTACCTCAGACTGTTACTCCAATGTCAAGAGGTGTATAGTTATAATGCATTTACTTTTCCCAAAATATCCCACTAGTATCAAATACCTCTGAGTACTTACAGAGTTAACCTCAAAGTTACAACTCTGATCATGCTTGCTTATATTCTAAAATATATGGCTGGAAGCTTGAAGGCTGAAATCAAAGAATATCTTCAAAGTTCAACAAGAATGTCCAACCCAAAACAACATGCTGTGAGATACAAAAACCTGATGATTACCAACCTAAGCAAGTTGGTCTGGGTTAAAACAGGAAACCTTTGCTCCCAAACCTTTGCTCAAATCTTAAACTGTATCCAGCCATAACCCATTTTTAAGTTAATATAAATAGGATAGGCTCAGATAATTCAAGAGGAAGAATTAAAGTATATGAAAAGTTCCTACTACCAAAAGTGTATGTAAGCTTCTTTTCCCTTTCCCTTGATTTGGCCAGCAGCTAGCTCCTGCTGACTTGCCTGAAAGACTTGTGTCCTATCAATAATGAATGTTTAGGCAGTTCTGGCTTTATTCTGCTACCCTGCAAAAAGATACTTACAGCACATCCAGCCACCAGATGGGAAGCTTAGCTAATTGCTTTAGTTCCCTTTAGTGTCTGGCTACCAGTCGGCAGACACACTGCAGCTGCTGCTTGAAGAAAAGGTTTTAGATGGGAAGGCAAGCTCTCAAAGTAATACACCTAGAACAGATGAGCTGATCATCCTTTCTCTTGAAAGCCCCAAGACATGCAAACCTGAAGAGTGAAACATGGAACTACCATATTTTGAAGAAACCTTTAAACGCTAAACAAGAAGCGTAAGTGGAAGAACTGTGAAGAAACTAGTCTGAAAAAAGCCAAGTGTTTCAAATCCCAGGAACAGCGGACTGTGTCAGTCACATTCAGAAGCAGAGGAGCAGCTATATTGCCCTGCAGTCGTGGCTCTGCACCCACTACAGTGGACTGTTGTCACACGCTTGTAAGAACTTACGGTGCATTGCTGTCTGCTGAGCTGCTGGGGAAAGGCAGGATGAAGAAAAGCTCTCTAAGTAAAAAACCCTTCCAATTGGCAGGACAAGGAACTCAACAGAAAACAGCTCAGATCTAGGATATTTTAAAAGATACCGTGCTTCAAGTCCAGGGTTTGATCTTCTAGAGCAGAAGGGAGCACCAGCATGCACTTCCTGCGCTACAGTGTTGGAGGAAACTCCAGTCAAAAAGACAGAGAGACTAGAGAATCTGCAATAAGAGCCTGAAAACATCATTATGTTTATACAGGCAAAAATACGTTATTAAGGTGACAATGAACATGCCCTGACTCTGTTCTGCTTCTTAATTTGCGCAGTGGGTAAAATGGACCCTGCTTTACAGTTATTGCTGCTCTGGGCAGTGGACTGTGCTTGTACCCGGGTAGCTGAGGCTGTCGCATCTGCACCCAGGAGCGCTGCAATGAAGCAATATTGCACTTCTTGATGCACACAGCACAGGGAAACGAGGACATAAAGGTCCCTTTCTGCTAAAGGCCCCTTTCTGTGTGTTTGGCTTTTTTCTGCTGTGGTACCATAGCAATTGGCTCTTCACACCCAGCAGTACTCCATGGGTCTTCACAAAACCTGGGGAGAGGGCAGAGCACATAATCCTTCCTCTCAGCCTAGTGTCTGCAGAAGCACTGGCAGCTGGCTTTTTCTACCAGGAAAAAATGCTTAGTGATTCTGCAGACCTACAAACCTGCTGCCCTTTTCCCTGGA